ATGCATGAGGTGTGGAGGCCAAAATTCTTAGGGATTTATGCGTCATGCTTTCAATTCTTTCAGCAGCATCTAATTTGTTTATGAGAATTCACAAGGCGGAGGTAATAACATTCTACTTGTTAAAGGCTTTTGTATTTATTAGAAATCCTATAACAGTTAAAATTATCTGATTAAATATCTATCTAAAAATTGTCTTAATTAAAATGACATGTGTAGACAAATATTTACCTATTACGTCTTAAAAGAAAACTTCTTTAATTATCTTTGGTTATTTTATTTCCTTCTACATGCAAATTGGGCATGTGTATGAATTTTTTTATTATTCTGTTTACATACTTTATACATTTGAAGGAATCACTTGTTTTATAACAAAAGTTAGCCAGTCGGAATTTGATAGTTAGTACGGTTTCTAAGACATTATTTAGACCATGACTAGTATTTGAAAACTTGGTTCCATCTCTTGTAAGGAATTTTTTGTTATATAATTTCAATAGTTTCTTTTGGATTTTTCATGTAAAATAGGAATTGATGGCTTAATAGGATATTACGTAGGTTTTTATAAAAAAAAAAATCCCTGAAACCATTGACTTGTTGCTCAAATCAACCACTATTTGAGTTACGCTTACTATATTGCAATATAAAACACTTTGGTCCGTTTGAAAATTTGGCATTAAGTATGCTCGGAGGTATATATTGTGCAAGCACGAGACTTAATTGATGACACTTTCAATTTTACGTTTGTAAGTTGAAAAAGTTTTCGTATGGTTTGAAATAGATGTATGTATTAAATATTAATTTTTTTTTTTTTTTTTTTTGGATTTGGAACTTTTACAACTCCAAATCAGATATGTCAATAATTCATTTACGATTTAAATACACTATTTTTTAGTTTTTTTTTTTTTTTTTTTTGCCTATTCATGATTTGATAATAAATTGGAATAATAAATTATTCACTAACTCATTCGTCAACAATTTGTCACACAAATTATCACTCAAGGATCTTGGTAATCTTGACTATTTCTTGGGCATTGAGGCCACTACAACAAATGAAGAGTAGTTTTTTAACAAGTACAATTCATTAAAGATATCCCAAAACATACTAACATAATGGGGTTTATTGAAATTATCCTATCACCACATAAGATAGTTTCTACTCTTGCTAAATTAACTATGTGTCATTAATATTTAGTTTATCTCATTAGTATAAAAAGTTTATACAAATTGTAATTACAAATGCAAAACTCATATAAAAATGTTTACTAATTTCTGGTAACTTAAAGTGTGTATAACTACTCATTTCAACACTGTAATTTTAGTTAACTAGTGTTTTGAGATATTTGATTAGAGAAATTGAATTTCAAAAAAAAAAAAAAAAAAAAAGAGTCAACATGGTTGCTTGGTCGGGTAAAATAGAAAAGAAGCAACATGAGTTTAGGGGTTTGAGCACTATAAATTCCTTTATTGTAATGTGGTCCAATTGAGTAGCTACTTATAAGGTGAAGGAATATGAGAAAGCAATTACTTGTGGTTTGAAATGACTTCCCACAAAAAGAAAAATATAAACTTTGATTCTCAATCAATTAAAGACAAAAAGAAGGAAGAAGAAGAAGAAGAAGAAGAAGAAGAAGAAGAGTCATGCTGTCACCGACCAATTTAACAACTCTATCTCTCTCCAAGAAAATAAATAAATAAATAAAAGAAGAGACTAAAGCAAAAATAGCTTCCCATTTAAACCATCAACCCACTCAATTGGTTTAAAAGAAAAAAGAAACAAAAACATCTCCAGAACTTGTTTCTTCTGCTCCTTAGTGCTTCAAACATCATTACCTTCCTCATAAAAAAACAAAAAAAAAAAACAATTTACTTGCGTTGGATTAATTTTTGGGTTTCAAAACATTTGAAGTTTTACCGGAGTGAATGGATAATTATCTAACTGTTTTTACAAGTAAAATTAATTAAATACGTGAAATGCACTATCACTTGCATTGTGCATTATAAAAAAAAAAAAAAAAAAAAAAAAAAAACTGAAACAATTAAATAATTTTTTAATAAAAATTTATATATTTTATTAATCAAATAACAAGATAATAATAATATTTTTTTCTTTATAAAAAAAATTATATAACACAGACTTTTATTAAATATATATAAAATTTATAACTCAATTATAAATGTATAATTTCAAAATTTAAATATAAACATTCATAAAAAATATATATATATATATATATATATATACTATATTCTTAATTGAAGCTCGACATCCAATTCGTAGAAATAGAGACAAAATGGGACTTGAATCAAGTGGAATAATTGGAGTACGAAATTCAGCTATTTCGGCGTATGGAATTAAACAAATTGAAAAGTCTCCTCCTTTACCACTACTTGGTCCATGACTTTGATTTTATTTAAAGCAAAAGTATCTGATAGGTGAGAAGACAAACCAGTTTGCACGCCCATGGAATTAATTAATTTAAATTATTTTTCATAAATTTACTTGAAAAATAAACTAAACTTTTAACGTAAAGTAATATAATTAAATATATATATATATATATTTTTTACAATCATAAAACAATAGAAAAATTTGAATCGGAAATTTTTTACATGTGCAATTGCAGCATGCAGTGGTTCCTTGGCGTTGGGTGGTCCTCTAGTTTGCTAATTCTCAAGTGCGTGTTGTGCTCAACTAGGTTTTATTTTATTATTATTTAATTTCTTAAATTTTTATACTAAATTATTTTAGAGTATTTAAATAAATAACTATTATGTATATATATATATATTGGTAAATAATTTCTGTATGTATATTACCCATATTGAATGGATAACGTAGAAAAAAGAATCAAATAATAATTTTAGTGGTAAAATAATAGACGCCCACAAAATTGAAATTGAAAAGCTGTGGTGGATTCGCCACTTCAAACCGAAAGATAACCACCCAAATCTCTTAACCCAGTAGTAACTCATTTGGCCGCCACACACACACACACACCCACATACTAGGAGAATGGTGGACGACGATTGCTTAAAAGAATGTTCTTAGATTTCTGCTACATACATACATATATATATGTATAGATACGTCACACACCATGTGTTGCAGTCAAGTCCAATTTCAGTTCTTCACCCAGTTGGATCATGTTGAGAACGAATGGTTAATAAGACTTAAATTGATTGGTTTGAAAATGCCAATCAAAATTTGCAAGTTTTAGATGAGATCAGTACTGGATTAAATTTTCATACACCACCACTTTCCTAAATCACAATTAAATAAATTATTAGTGGTGGGGTTATCTTTTATCTTGAGCATCATAAATTTATCTTCTCTTCAAAGCAAAGATTTACACTAATTTTGATTTAGAATTTTTCTTAACTAAACCACAATTTTGTAATTCTAGAAGAAGATTTTGGATTTAGACTACCTAAGTTTTTTTTTTTTTAAGATGGTTAGGTTAATCATTTATTATTATTCTAACATTTACTTAGTTAAAGAATTAAATTTTGAGTGTTTAGAATTCTAAAAGTTAGTTTTAGATAGTTTGTCCGTAATAATTGTATTTTTATATAAAAGAAAAATTTTAATTATGCAAACACTAAAATGTTTATGATAATTTTAGAAATTAAAAATAAATATATATTTCAAAAGATCTACACACGTATAAAAAAGATAGAATACGTATATAGGAGGAGACGTTGGCCTAGGTGAATGACATTGGACAATGCTTCAATTAATGAGTGCCTAAGGCTAGTCACAATTTGGAAATATTTTTATTTTGATATTTTAAAGTTTTTTGCAAGGGGTCGAATTGTTTCCTCACCAGTTGATATTCTCTAGAATAACAATTTAGAATTTGCTTTTAAAGACTGAATTTATTCATTGAAATATTGAAGTTATGGTTTTTAGGTCGGAGATTAAAACTTGAATAAATAAAACATTTCAAAGAGAGATTAAATGCTCATTCACCGATCATATTAATTAATTTAAAGATGATGATAAATAAATATATGTATATATTGTGCACATTCTAATAATATTAATTAATTCAAGAATTAATGTTTGAATAAAATAATATAAAAATACATATTTTTATATATTCTAATCAAGTTAATTAATCTAAAGATAGTTTTTTTTTTCCGAATAATTATAAGATATTAAAAATAACATTCAATTAATAACACGCACTCAGACTTAAGTACATAATTTTTTATAAATAAACGAAAATAACAATTAAATAAGAGTTGATATATAATTTAAATATAACGAGTAAATAGGTAATACAAAAAAATATATACATTCGACATATTTTATTAATAATTAAATTAATATTTTGTATTATATATTTGATGATACAAAGAAAAAAAAAAAAACAATATTTTATCTTCAAACTCCTGTTTATTCCTAAACTAAATTCTAGCCACAAGAAAAACATATATTATATTGTTGCTGGTCATTCATATGTGATGTAGGGTTTTAGTGGAAGAGCCGTGGCCTTTTCCCCAATTATTTTAACATTTATATAATTGATATGATACCATGAAATGGTATCATCCAACCTCTCCTGAATGAGCATACATTTTATATTTAGTTAGGACAAGTATTAAATGAAGGACCCTATAGAACGTGTTAAATAATTAGTGATGATTGAGTAAACTTCCTAGAATCATGTATGCACATATATACACATGATATACATTCACATGGCTGGTGATTAGCCTGTCTTGAACTCTATATTACATGTATAATTTGGATTGTTTACTTAGAATAAAACGAAATATGTTTATGATGATGATTAACTCAGACTAAACGGAAATTACAGATTTCAAGAATATATAGATGGATGACATATATGATATATAAAAAAAAAGGGTTGGAAGGGGAAATAAAAAGAAGAAGTAAATTAATAAAGATGAGAAAGTTAAAAGGGAAAATGTATAGACGGGGGACCGATGAAAGTGAAAGTTATGGGAAGAACATGGGGGGAGTGCTTATGGACAGTCCACGCATCTCATATCTTTCTTATTCTCTTTCTGCCTTTGCTTTTTCCAGAACGCTCATTCCACATTCTCCCTCTATGGAATTGGTCGGTTAATTCCCTCCATTAAACTATTCTCTAAGCTCCCACTATCCATCTATTCTATATATATGTATATATGAAGACTTCACTTCACCCTTTCTCCTATAACTCACTTTTTAATCTCTCTTTTCTCTCAACTTGGTTTCGCCTCCTAAATATTTATATACACATATAATCTTAATCTTTACTCCTTTACACTACATTATTTAACACTTTAATTCCCATATAGTAGGCTTCATATAGAACTCATCTTGATAGTGACCAAACCTTGCAACTTGCCTGATTCATCTCCTACTTTGTTTCATCAGTTCAACATCAGACTCCTGATCACCCAATTACTTCACCCAATAATGCTGCATTGTCGTCTCTCTCAACTTTTTCTCTGTATTATAATTTGTTTTTTCGTTTGCAGCAGCCATGGCAGACATCACCATACCAAGCACAAGCACACTCACGGCCATCATAAAGTATCCTACATCTCGGAACCTCCTTCTTATCTCCCACCAGAGTCTGCCCTTTCCCCAGATGACCCACCTACACCAGAGGTCACTGTTCCTCCTCCATTTGAGGCCACTACTCCTCCACCTTTCGATGCCACTGCTCCTCCACCGTTTAAGCCCACTGCTCCTCCACCATTTAAGGCCACTGCTCCTCCACCATTTGAGGCCACTGCTCCTCCACCAAACCCAACTACTACTTCTCCTCCACCGACTGCTCCTCCACCAAACCCACCTACTACTTCTCCTCCACCGAAGGCAAGTGCTCCTGCACCAGAGGCAAGTGCTCCTAGTCCTAGTGACAATGTTAATGATAACTACTCCAGCGGCATTTTTGACGTGAGGCGTTTTGGTGCTGTTGGCGATGGAGTTACAGACGACACAGAAGCATTCAAGTTGGCATGGGACGCGGCTTGCAGCAGCCAGAATGACTCCGCAGTCATTCTTGTTCCTTCTGGTTTCTCCTTCCTCATTCAATCCACAATTTTCACAGGTCCTTGTCAAGGTGGCCTAGTCTTGCAGGTATTTATATATACATATTTATATGTAGTGGTTATAAACTTACAACATGAGTAAAGTTCATTAATTAACTAGTCGTACGTTCTTGTGATGACTGACGAGAAGATTGATGGTACTGTTATGCCTCCTGATGGACCCGAGTCCTGGCCCAAGAATCTCAGTAGACGTCAATGGCTAGTGTTCTACAGGATTAACCAAATGTCACTACGAGGAGGTGGTGTAATTGATGGCAGAGGACAGAAATGGTGGGATCTCCCTTGCAAACCCCACAAGGTACATACATATACGCTTATAATTAAACTATTAATCTTCATATACGCATATTTATGAATGTATTTTCTTGTTTAATCTACATTTAAATATTGCAAAATATCAATCCCACAAACAAATATTCACTTGTATGAATTATAATCCAACAGGGAGTTAATGGAACAACACTACCAGGACCATGTGATAGCCCCATCGTAAGTTGTCTTGACTTTATAATAATGGCTACTTTTTGTTTTTTTCTGAAGTGGGGATTAAAAAATATATGTATATAATTTGTATTATTAAAATCATTCAGGCCATAAAATTCTTTATGAGCTCCAACTTGAGTGTTCAAGGACTTAAAGTGAAGAACAGCCCCCAGTTTCACTTCAGATTTGATAACTGTAAGAATGTCCACATTGAATCCCTTCGCATAACAGCTCCTGCTTTAAGTCCCAACACCGATGGCATCCATATTGAGAACACCAATAATGTTCAAATCTATAATTCTGCTATCTCCAATGGTAATTACCTTACCACTCCCATTACATGAATATATATTATAATGAATAATTCATTCAATTCTATTTGTCTGTATATACACAGGTGACGATTGTGTATCCATAGGATCAGGCTGCTATGATGTGGATATAAAAAATGTCACTTGTGGTCCTAGTCATGGAATAAGGTACTAGTACTCCAAATTAGTCAACAATCTGTATATATTGGTAAATTTATATATGATTATTAATTTTTGTGTTTATTCTACTCAGCATTGGGAGTCTGGGCAATCACAATTCGCGAGCCTGTGTATCGAACATAACAGTTAGAGATTCGGTGATCAGACTTTCGGCTAATGGAGTAAGAATCAAGACATGGCAAGGTGGATCAGGCGCTGTATCAGGAGTGACATTCAGTAACATCCACATGGAGAACGTGAGAAATCCGATCATAATCGACCAATTCTACTGCCTGACAAAGGGCTGTGCTAATAAAACATCCGCTGTTTTGGTATCGGATATACAATACGAAAGCATAAAGGGAACATACGATATTCGGAGTCCGCCAATGCATTTTGGGTGCAGTGATTCAGTGCCTTGCACCAATTTAACACTGTCTGATATTGAGCTTATGCCTGCTCAAGGAGATATAATGTTGGACCCTTTTTGCTGGAATGCTTATGGTGATTTACAGACTCTCACTATTCCTCCAGTTTCTTGCTTGATGGAGGGCACACCTAGCTCCTCCTTATTGGACAGTGTCATAGGTTACTGCTGACTCAATTCATGTAAAGCAATTTCATGAATTATATAATATATATGCATGTATGTGTAAATATATAATATAATCCAAAGGGAAATCATGGATGTGTGTACCATGATCATATAATTGTAAGTGCGAGAGGCTATTTTGGTTAGCTCTCCATTCTACGAACATGCTATGGGTGCATGTATCGTTAAGCTATATAAGTTTAGTTGAGTTAATTAGACTGTGACTTTAGCTTCCTGATCTTAACTTTATGTTCAATTATGAGTTATAAATCAAATTCACATATATATATTGTGTTTAAAGAGCATAGATATATGAACCAATAGATTTATTAATTAAACTAATTAATTTTTTAAGGGAAAAGGTACTATCATCCAAATTAATCTTACTTGATCGAGTACATTAATATAAATGTATGTACTATATAACCTATATCTTATATATACATATACATATAGAAGCTACTTATATATAGGTTAGTCTAGAGATGAATATATATAACAAACAAAAACTTATTAAGCAATTATAACTTTCCCTCATCAATTAATATAAACTATATATAGGTATATATATATATATATATGATGGATGTGTAATTTGAATATTTTGATAAGGGAATTGATATAAAAGAATTAGTCAAAGCCATGTGGGTGTGATATATATATATAGAGTGCAGAAATCAAGTGAAGGAAGATCCAAAGACATATGTACATATATAATTAGGGAATAATTAGGGATGAAAGTTAGAGAAAGTGATTACTATAAAAGAAGAATTTTATGAATCCAAGATCCTTATTTTTTTAGAAGAAAAAGAAAAGATTGTAGATGAATGAGGATAGTGATAAAGTGGGAATCTGGTGCACGCGCGCGCAGCTACTGTAATCATGGAGATGAGTATGAAGTAATCAAAGTATATGAAGAGTATATCGTAGACTTGTATGCGTGTTTGGTGGTCTGTTAAAGTTGCCGGCCGGTCGGTGCACGGGCTCTAAATCTCCAATTGCCACCCACCAATTTCACCTTTTCTCTCTTCTCTCTCTTTTATCATCCATCCATATACATATATATGTATATTAACTTTAAAATATACGCCCAGTTGCTTAATTATAATGGAGGTTATATAAATTTTACATATATAATTCTTTCTCTTCTACCTATATACTCCATAAACTAATACTTAAAAATATCTATATATCCTGTTGCCTTTTTTTTTTTTTTTGGGTGGGGACACTGTAGTTACGGAGTCAACCCGATGATGAGTGATGTCCAAAATAAATTATGAGAATTAATCTGAATAGAAGGCACTGTCAATCTGACAAAATTTTATATATATATATATATCTCTCTACAAGTAGACATGGCATCTGCTGCCCATGATCATATACATATATATATATATGTACACATGCACATAAAGCGTAAAATCTGATGCCGCATAATACTTGTATATACGTACTTCAACCAGAGGGCCGAGGTAGGTGAGGGACATTTATACGGGCATCCATACATGCATATTCATAGGTGTATATATATGTAGCTAAAAAAGTAAAAGGTGATGGTGCAGAGTGTTGTTACTGCCACAGAAATGGAGGGATGTGGGATGCATGCGGATGGGTGTATATATATATAGATATAGATATATACAAAGTAAGCAGTCTCAAAAGTTCAACCTCAAAAGGAATATTCTAATTAACCCACTATCCGCCTATCACCACCTCACCTTCTTCTCTTTACTCAGAATGTACTAACATTAAACTTTATCTTCTTAAAGTAACAACGTCATGACTTGTATATATATATATATATATATTGTTAAAGTAACATGTAGGTTTTATAAGATTGTAAATCATAGATAAAGTAAAGCCAATATTCTTTTATCATACCTCAAAATTATTCATGCATGTAGTATAAGTTAAAAGTTCTACATCTCCAAATAAAACCTCCATCCCAATTTCAATCATCAATAGAACTAATACGAGCCCAACCTTCATAAACCAAAAAACCTTGTCATAATAATAAATAAATAAATATTTGTTTATTAAAAGTAAAGTTTTCTTATAATTTAAATCATCTTTAAAAAATTTTATTTTATTTGATATAATACTATTTTAAATCATTATCATTTAAATTAAAATAAAATGGCTTAAATAATTTCATAATAGTATCCTATTTTTTTATTATTTTTGTTCAGACAGGAAGACGAATATGACTCAGAAGTTTAAGTCAGTAAACTCTCAAATAAAAAGTGTTATGTCTTCAGAATTAGATGTTGTTTAAATAAAATTTTAGAAATGTATTGTGGAAGGGTAAAGAGTTGCGACTTCCCTTGGGCCCATTTGTTTTTGGAATTTGAGCTTCAAGGAATTAATTTATTTCAGTCACTTCCAGTCAATCTATTTTGGGCCTTGGACTTTATTATCTTGGGACACTGCAATTTGAGATTATCTGGGCTCTTTAAATGATTTAGTCAATTACAATTTTGACCTTTAAGCCTTTTTAAAAATAATTTGGTCACTTAAAAAAGTTTTAAAGTTTCATCCCATGAACAAGGAACAACCGAGACTTAAATTCTTGATATGATAATCCCCTCCTTAAACTTTTCCCCCCCCAAACCAAATTACTCTTTCAAGTCTTGGAACATTAAATTTTAAGACCATTAAATTTATAATTTTATCCGTCTATGAATAATCACAATCTAGAATGAGAACCTCGAGATTTCTATATATATTTAGTTTGTTATGTGTATTTTTATTGAACATAATAAAAATAATAAATAATTAACTTCTAAACAGTTAAAGCTCCACCCTCTAATTTATACATTTATATATATAACACACTTTTAATGAGTGAAATGAAGTCTTTTAATTATTTAACTACTTTTATACCTTAGGGATAAGAAAATATTAATTCTAGGGAAGTCACTACACTTTAAGCTTACCTACAAGTAATTTAATTAGTTTGAACAAATTATTGAACAAATATGATAAGTTCTAAGTTTATTAAACAATTAAAATTATGCATAAAAAGAACTCACAGAACTTCGGAAATTTGAAATGAAACATGTGTATTAAAAAGGTCAAATGCGGAAGCGAAATAAAAATTTTGATTAAACATCTCTTACACTAAAACCAAAAACGTGCTCAAAGTATAAAAGAACAAACTAACTAAAAGAGAAACTCGAAAATAAAAGCTATAAATATGACTACGGAGTCTTCAGGCGTCCCCTTCGCCGTCTTCCTGCGGAACGGGCTCGGAAACAATGTCTTCCTGATCTGAAATGATTAAATAAGGAATGAGCTACACCAGTCCAGTAAAGACATCACACTATCTCACCGTCACGGAGGTAAAGGTGGGTAGAAAACACAAAAGACAAATGGAGCATAGTTTACAACAAATTCTTTTATCAATAATAAAATCGTTGCTATCCACTTACCTCGGTGAAATTCATAAAACAATATACGAAAGCAATAACATTATCATCATCAGCAAATCATAGGAACTGTATAACATAATACTTATCACGCCTTTTGCATCTCAATCATGACACAACATATTTTTCCTTATTTACCAGTCTACTAGTATCCATGGGGATCCATAGGGATCCCGCTACCCGTGAACCTTTAACACTTGTAATCAGATTCCAGGGCCGTCCCCATACCCCGTCCGGTATGGACGCCAAAACTATAAACCTCAATACTTCGTCTGGTATGAGGGTGAAACAGGCCGTCCCCATACCCCGTCCGGTATGGGCGCCAAAACACATAAGGTCTCCATACCCCGTCCGGTATGAGAGACCACAGTCCCGGTAGGGTTCCCTACGGACCCGGTCCGTCTAATATCTCTCAGGATATCTAGTCAGGCTAACCACATTATACAATTATCAAATTACATAACCTTTCATTCTCCTTTTCCTCAGTCAGCATCATCAAATCACACACAAACAAGCAACCAGTAATTCATGCCAAACAAGCCAACATATAACATCGGATTCTCAGTCATTCAACCCATAATCAATAAAACAATGATTTATGCACACGAAACTATGAAATGAGAACATCAGACATCATACTGCATTTAAAACTGTAAAATAGAACAAACAACAACTGACTGGCAAACACACCAGACTCGGGCTCCATTGGCGACCTTAAACAATTTCACACATCTATTGATTTATGAAATACCATTTTATCATTTATTGAACTTTAATACCATGATAGGAAATAGGGTGAGAAATTCTTACTTGTTTCGGGGTCCGAATACGGCTCTACAGTGCGCGTACAGGTTGTCCCTAATTTTTCCTGAATTTTTCTCGGGGAACTGAAACGCACTACTGGTACCTGCACGTGTCCCAAAAAATCCCAGATTAGACCCAGGGCCCCTTTTGGCCAATATCACAATTCCGGCACGGCGGCTCCGCCGTGCTCTGGCGCAAGCGGCGGCGATTCGCCTCGGGTTGGCCGTTTTTGGCCATTTTCAGCCGAATTCGGCCACACTTGCATCGGTTCCTGCGATAAAACAACCCTAGGGCCCTCGGGGGGCTAAAAAATTACGAAAAACCGAAGCTTACTGGTGGCGGTGCTCTCAGGTGTGGCGGCTCTCCAGCGAGGTTCGTGTTTTGGTGATTTGGCTCCGATCAACCTGTAGAGAAAAGAATGGTGATCACGGTGATATAAAAATTGTATCAAACGGAGGCCGGGAAGGGCCTCATCGGAGGCAAAAATCGAGGAGGGGCGCGGTGGCACCGCTGGGTTTTCGCCGTGTTTTCCGACCGTTTGGCCGGGATTTTGGCTCCGATTTGGCCACAAGAGAACTCAGCGTGGAAAAACGAGCCGGGGTATGAAATTTACCTCGATCGGCGGTCGAAAAACTCCCCGGTGCAACGGCGAGTAGCGGCGACCGGCTTCTCCGGTGTCTGGTTCTTCTTCTCCGGCGAGGGCAGGCGGCTAGGGTTTTTGTGGTCAGGTGTGGGGGTTCTATTTATACCCTTTTGATCACAGCTGTTCATTTTGATTAAATCTGAGCTGTCCGTGCGCGATTGAATCTGGACCATCCGTGCGCGTGCATCTGGGCCATCCGTGCGCTTGCATCTGGGCCGTCCGTGCGCGCGGGGACGCATCTGGGCCGTCCGTGCGCGCGGGGACGCATCTGGACCGTCCGATCGCGCACACGCGGATCGCCCACGTGGCCCGTTCCCGGGTCGACGTGGTATTACCACGCGGCAGGTCCTGGTTG